TTTTTCGATGTAAAAACAAAACAAATAAAAATAAATAATAAGATAATTATAAGAGTAAAAAAATATTTTTAAAAAAATGCAGTTTTTATTTATTTTTTCTCGTCTTCTAGAGTTCGTTAGACTCGTGTCCAGTATTTGTGTAAAATCGGGATGTAAAATATAATATTTTAGTAAGGACTCGACGTTGAAAGGATGATTGGTTGTTTATATCTTACATCGCGGGACCCACAATCGTCACAATGAGATAATTGGCAGTTCTGCGTAAGCTGATAACGAGCGAGAGTAAATAGTTTTGTTATATCTAAGAATAGATTGGAATATGCATGGTGGATTATATCTCTAAGGAGAATGATATTTTGGAATCGTCTCTACACTCCTTAATTAGGTCGAAGATGTCAAGTGTCTGCGTCGTTGTTCTCTAATGATGAAACATTTCCGAGTGCTCCTTGTCAGCTGCATTTTCTACTATTAGATTATTATTATATAATTCTTCTTCTTTATTCTTAGATTAATATTATATACAGGATGTCCCGTTAGTAGAGAGACATTTTTATAGGAGTGGTTCATATAAACCACGGGTCCATTTTCTGCAGAAAAATAGGAAATCCAAGTTTTTCGTTTTTTTAAGTTAGTTATGTTTTTGTTGAATGGGAAGGGATAACTAAAGAAATATTTAATTTAAGTAATTGACAATTACTTCACTGTAAACCAGACAAAATTTACTTTAATTTAAAAGAGAATTTGTCATTATTGCAGTCATTTAAAGAGGACATTTGAGTGGCTAAACTAAATTAAGTTCTGTTTTTCCTAAAAATCCTAAATTATTTACCATTTTTTTTTTTTTTTTATCATCATCCAACTTTACTACAGCTATCCCACTTAAAACTGTCCCGTTTAAGTTTATATTAATTAAACTGAGGTTTATTAGGAAAAAACTTGAAATTCACTTCAAGTTGTGTAAAGAAATTATATATTTTTTTTTTTCAGTCTCCTAAAAGTAATCATTAAAAATCTTTTTTTTAAATTTTATTATTTTATAAATAAAATATATATTTTGGCGAGGAGTGGGGTAGCTCACTGGTTGGGAACTAAGCTTCCAATGCTCCAATGTCTCAGGATCGAATAATCCCAGTTCATGGCAGAAAAATTATTTATTCTGTTTCATTGGCCGTGGGGCAATCCTAGGGTAGGGAGACGCTCCTGGGGCACACCCAGCCTCTACAAAGTGGGTATCTTAATTAAATAATTGATTAAGGCGGAAAACCTGGCGGTTGAGCGTGATCCTGGCCCGATCCCCTCTCTACAGAACCGTTGGCCTTGAAACAGTACTTTCCCTAAATAGTACTGAATCCAAGACCCATTCATCATTCATCGTAGTGGTACAGTTTTTTTAAATGATTATTAGAATATATCTCAGATCATGGAAAAACAAGAAATAAAAGCTTTGCATCAGTTTAATTGTAGTCATTTTTGCTGAAACACGGGTACTTTTAGAGGACTCGATAGAAAATCATATAATTTTTTAACATAACTTTATTCATCTTGACAGAGCAAAAATAAATACTGTACGGGCTCATTGCATTCTACAATAATTGTAGGTTCATATTTATAGTTAAAATACTATTATTAAAGTTTATTATTTTTTTTTAAATAAATTTTTACTGAAGGTAGGATGGTAAGCGGAAATTATGAGATGTACGCGGCAAAATTGAGTTTCGGTCGGTTTCGGCTCCATGGGTTCAGTTAATACTTTTTATTTTAGATTTGACCTTTATTATGTTTTGTTCCCCAGCTACTTAAAAATGTGTTTTTGTTTTTCAAGATTGCTAGCGGCGATATCACTGAAATTGCTGAGTAATGGTTTAATGAATTAGTAAGAAGAAAAAAAAAACATGTACTTGAAATTCTGATTCCTGGCCTTGCAGAATCTTAGTTTTATTATTTTAGGGAATTATAATTGTTTTAATTATAATAAAGTTTATTACAAAAATAAATAAAAGAGTTAACAATAAGCATGGGGAAAAGAAAAAATTATAACAATGGAATATCCGTCAGCCGAAGTCCATTTACCAAAACGAGGTGTAGTCCGGGAATCTGTCAGGAATACAAAATCAAATAATTACTAATTATTTATTAAATGTCGCCGTTTCGATTTATCAGGGTTAAAAAGAAAGATATAAAGAAGGTGAAGCTATTGTAGGGGTAAAAAAGTTATTAACAATAAGTTACGTAAACACGTTTTACCTTTGAATACCACCTTAAATTTTCTACAATTTATTTTTTACTGAAATTGAATTTTCTATATTGACTCCTTAAATGTACTTGGTAAAGAGCAACGTGTATTTTGTTTATTTCTAATCAATATTTTTCATTCATTTGTTTCTTTATTTTTTGTTTAATGTACGATTATATAAAATTGTTTAAATATTTTTAAATAACAAAAGTAATTTTCATTTTTTATTATTGTTATTGTTTATTTATATATTTATATATATATTGGAGAAACCATACTGTATTGTATTTTTCTTAACGATTCTGCATTGTTGTAAATATTTTAAATTATTTATTTATTTAATATCATACCTTCTATAAAATTAAATTAAACTTGGGACAAATTCATTTATATGGGACATGTTCAATAAATAAATAAAAATCATTTGATAAAAACAAACTATACTGAACAACAAAAAAAAGTTGTAACGTTATGTATCGTTCATTACCCTATTTGTAATATCTGATGAATAATCTTAGAGTTTTCTATGTCTAGTTTCAATTGTTTTTTTTTATTTTTTAGAGGTATCTAATAACTATGAAGTTTATCCACAATATTATTCAGTAAAAATAAAAAATAAAAAGTAGTTCATACTTTCTAAGAATTATTCTTTAAATTATATGGTGAAATCAATTGTTATAAAGATATGAAAGGGATAATAACAAGAAGATAATAACACTTCAAATTTGAGTTTGTTTATTTAATATTATTGACCGTTTAAAAAAAAAATTATTATCAAAAATTTCTTTATTTTTAATAACCCTAAAATCAATAATGAATTGTTGAAACTGACTACATTATAATATCAATCAATCAATTAAGATTTTTTTGAGATAGAATTAATGTTCATACTGTCACTGATATAAATTAATTTGTACGTAACATGAGTATCATAAACATACCATGGGTCAGGTTTTTGTATGCTTGTCCTAAAAACAAAAGTAGGTGTTCAATACAACAGTATTAAGTTATTTATATTTTAATAGTACGATCAATCGAAGTTTTATTTGTTAAATATTATTTAAAATACATAATATATTTTTGTTTTACATCAGTTCTAAAATAGGTATCTTCATCCTACTCTTCCTAATGGAAGAAAAAATGTTCAATTCTAAGATGATCTGCTGCGGAATGGTGTTACTACAGCCATGGCTTGTACTTTTTATGCCCACTAACCATTTCATCCACTCTCAGAATTTCTTCACCCATGGCTGAGATGTTGATGAATTAAATCTCTGATCGGTCACTATTTTACAATGAAATGGAAGATGGTAAAGTTGAGGGGGACCTGTGATTTAATGACAATTTACCAGCTAAAAACTAACCTCGTCTTTTATAATGAATAAAATAAAAATATTATGGAAAGATATTACATATTTATTATATAATATATGCACTGTTATTAATACTTTATTTTAATGGAAATTCAAATGTTAAAAAATAAATCTTTATTGGCAAGGCTAGGCTCACAACAGGGCTGCGGCTCCAGCTGCCCTTCCCCCCACCCCTCTAAACTTTACAAAGCTTCATTATTAAAAAGTAATAAAACAACTGTTAACATATTTACTTTAATTTGAAATAATACTTTGTATAATAGTGATGAATTGTTTAAGTGTAACCCCTTCACTTTGGCATTTCAATTCAAATTTTAATTAATTTATCAGAAGTGGTGTGGGCTTGAAAGTGATAATATTTTTAATATTGTCTTATTTATTTTGTTATCAAAAACAACTTTGTTATTCATAATGATTTTATTTTATCATAAAGCCTTAATGATTCTTAATCAAATTTGATGTATTAATGGGTTTTTTTTTTTGCAAACATTGATATTATTACTAAAAAAATTGTGTGTATGCTTCATTAAGAGTGAAAAAAATTCTACAAGAGTCAACTTCTAACTCAATTTCAAATTTGATGACAAATGTCTGCCTTGACGTGAGGTCACTCATTTCGTTAATCATATCAGTTTCTACTTATGCTGATGATACATTGAAGAGTATAAATGGAGTTGAGCTTTGAGGCTCCATTAAATCATCAAATTCTTCCTGAATCCAATCCTTCAAAAAATCCTCAATGCTACCTACTCTATGTCACCAATAAAATTATCCATAATGACCTTAATGTTCCTTATGTTACTGGCCCCAATCGAGATATCTATCCTTCCTTAATAAACTTCAAGTCCATCCAAATACACTTGTTTTTAACCTTGCATCCTTTTTGATTCCTGACAATCTTCCAAGGCATCTGAGAAGAAGATGGTCTTTGGACTTTCTAATATAGAACTACAATTGAAATGTTACCTATGGGTAGTTCCTATTCATGTTGTACATGTCACATTACCGATTCAAATTTACTAGTTGTATTTTTACCTAATACGGTTGTAAATTTCAATAAATATATTAACAATAAATGAACATAAAAAGTTAATTTTTTTCAGAAATGTTTTGGCTTTGACTTTAAAGTGTTTATAGCACTCTTGAGGATTATGTAAAGTCCCATGTATTATGTTTTAGAAATTTTATTTTATCTAATTATTAATTAGACAAATAAGTTGGTTGTTACGGTCTAATAAATTACTAAAAAACAAGAACACACATAATCGAATTTCATCATAAAAAAATTATTTGTAATGAGATATGAGTTTTAACTTTACTAATAATTTAAATGTAAGTTATGTTTGTATTGCTATAAAATTCTTAATAATTATAAAATCCCTTAATTTTTTTAGGGTTTTGAATATGAGAAACTTATGAAAGTAAAAGAGGAACACATCGTTCCTTGTATTCAACCCTATTACAAAAAGCCTTTATTAATACATGAAGGGCATATGCAATGGCTCTTTGACCACACTGGAAGGAGATACTTGGATATGTTTGGAGGAATTGTTACAGTAAGCGCTGGGCACAGTCATCCGTTAGTATTTTTATATTAATTCTGTATTATTATTTTTCTCATATTACTTTGTGATAGATAGACCTATTGTATTAATAACTTTCTGATCTATGTGTCCATTTCTAGATAGAATAAGGCTAAAATCATTTGATAATAAATGTTCTATTATCTCAAGGGTAGGAACCTAAGGAAATTCCCTCTGTAAATAAAATTAATTGCTTGTTGCTTTTTTTAATACTTCAGCACTCTCATAAAAAAAAAAAAAAACCTCTACCACTACAACCCATGAAGGGTCTGGGGTTCAGTACTATTTAGGGAAAGCACTGTTTCTAGGTCAACGGTTGTGCAAGGAGGTGATTTGACCGAGATCACGCTCAACCACCAGGTTTTCCCCCTTAATTAATTATTTAATTAAAGGTACCCACTTTATAGAGGCTGGGTGTGCCCCAGGAGGGACTTCTGACCCAAGGTCGCCCCACGGCCAATGAAACAGATAAATAAATTTTCTGCCATGAGCCGGGGTTCGAACTCGGGACCTTTGCATTGGAAGCTCAGTGCCCTACCACTGAGCTACCCCGCTCCCTTCAGCACTCTCATAAATTCTAAAAATTAGACTGATTAGCCATTCAATCAAGTTAAGAGTTAATAAAACATAAATAAAACAATGGTTTTAATTAATTTATTAATCAGATATGCTGGGCAAACCATGACATTTAAAAGGAGAGTTGCTGATACACTGGACAGGTTTGAAAGCATTATGCAAAGAATATTAGGGCCTAACTGCGAAGAAGAAATGTGGTGACGCCGCCATGACAAAGAGTTATATTAGGCCTTTAATGATATCTACTTATCAACTAATGTGAAGGTTTAGTGCCAAAAATAGTTGGGTCATATCCTAAGAAGGTACGATAACAGAGTCGCAAGAAAGGTCTATAAGGGAACCCCTGGCAGAGAAACACCAAGAGGAAAGTCTAAGAGCCAGTGGAACGACAGCATACAACGAGACCTCAGGCAGTTGAGAATAAGTGTCATCCTCGCTGAAGATAGAACGAGATGGGTGGCAGCGGTTGATCAAGCCAAAAGCAGCTACATGTGGGTGTTGTACTAGTGAAAGGAGAAGACTTGTTGATTTGTTTTAAAGAAAATTTCCTTTCTAAATTTAATTAAATACTTGTTGGATTAATTATTTTTATCTGAATTAAGTTTGTTTTATTTCTTTCACAATGTGTTTCTTGATAAGTATATATGTAAAAATAAATTAATTGAGTGTACAAACAAACCATATTCACATTGTGTTACCTGAGAAATAAAATTTAAAATAGAACTTTGTATTTTTTTTTTAGAAAAATTAATGAAGCAATCTTTAAGCAAATGAAGACACTCTGGCATACAACCAATATTTATCTGCATCCAAAACTTTATGAGTATGCAGAAAAATTAACTGCAAAGTTACCAGGGGACTTGAAGGTATTATTATTTTATTATTACTTTATGAAATATTTTTATCACTTATAAATTTCACAGCTTTTAACCATTTGATTTTAGGTTGTTTATTTCGTGAACAGTGGTTCAGAAGCTAATGATCTTGCCATGCTGTTAGCAAGAATATATACCAAAAATTATGATGTAATATCATTTAGGAATGGATATCATGGTATGAGTCCATATTGTATGGGGATCACAGGGCTTTCAACTTGGAGATATGATTTACCAATTTCGATGGGAGTGCATCATGTAAGATCATTTTTTCAGATAACTTATTTCTTATTAGTTGAATATACTTCTATTTTATTGTTGTAGACTTTTAATATTTACAGGTTGATCAGATTTAAACTGTGGTTTTATGGGGTCATTTTTACTAATATAGGTTACATATAAGAATGAAAAAGTTGAATTACTTCGGGTAAATGATTTAACAAGACTATATCTGCCTTTCTGTATAAAAATGTAAAACATTTGCAAAAATAAAAAACATTTTAAATTTAAATAAACTAAAAACTGGTTTAATACTTAAGAATCATTTACATCTCACTTTTTCAATTTTGTCAATTTATATTGTTGGTTTTGTTTGATAAATGTGCAAATATCATTTAATTCAACCTCTCAAACACATTCTGTTGATTTTTTTAAGGGGTGTATCAAATTTTTTAACTTATCAAATTTATGTGTCAGCTTTCTTCCGTTACTTTAGACCTTGGGTGATGTCTTACCTGCATATTTATATGATGAAATTTCTGTCAATGTCATTTGATTGATTAAAAATCATTTCCATCATTAGCAGTGATATCATTGACCATTTAGGGACCTATTTTTAAAAATGGAATGTGAAAAGATATGTCAAGAAATATCACATTTATTAAAATTCCATCTCAGTAATTCTGTTGTGTAATGCAATTAATGAATCTATGAAATTTATCGATAATAATTATTATTGTTTTTATGTTTTGCTAGGCCATGAATCCTGATGTCTATAGGGGCCTGTGGGGCGGTTCAAAATGTAGAGATAGCCCAGTCCAGACAGACAGAAGCTGCGATTGCGAAGACCATTGTAAAGCTGCTGACCAATATTACAATCAGCTGGAGGAAGTATTCAAATACTCTCTCCCTCGTGGGAAAGTTGCAGCACTTTTTGCAGAATCCATTCAGGTTTATTACAACTTTTTATTGGAAACTAAAGATTTATAAGTTTTTATTTATTTCAAGGACACCTTTAAAAAAGAAAAAAAAATATATATATATATCAGTACTTATATCTTATCTCTCTATATTGATTTTGAACAATATTATTTTGTTTTTACAATTAAATTTTGAGTTTTGAAAGTTTTTAGTTTTTCTAGTGATATTGTGATGTGCTGTTCCAGAATAAATAATGATTTTCACTTTCACAATTATCTTTGCTTTTGAACAATTTATGGGAAAGTTAATCTCTGTCAACAGCACTCCAATAAAAATTTCATTTATCATAAACTCATTAATTAAAATTATTATTTTTTTAAACACTTTTTTTCAGTTTATTCAAAACCAATTTCTTCATTGATTACTTAAATTATTAATCTTTTTTTTCCATTTTGCTTAAAGGGTGTCGGAGGGGTTATACAATTTCCTAAAGGATTTTTGAAGAAAGCTTTCGAACTCATCAGGAGCAATGGTGGTATTTGTGTTTCAGATGAAGTAAGTTTTTGTATTTTATAAATTTATAATATTTCAAAATTTAAAATTACGTTTGTATGCATGTTTTCCTCAATTCAATAACACAACATATTTTCAGTGGAATTAGATTGCTATGAAATGAAGCTATAAATCATTGTTATTTGGCAGAATCAGGAACTGAAGACATCAAATGATAGAATATATGACCTGACGAGTATTAAAAACTTGTAAAAGTTGTCAAAAAAAATTGTAAGCTATTAAGTTTTTAAACTTTTTTTTTTATAGGTTCAATCAGGTTTTGGACGAACTGGTGATACATTCTGGGCTTTTGAAAGTCATGATGTAGTACCAGACATTGTCACAATGGCTAAGGGTATTGGAAATGGATATCCTTTGGCAGCAGTTATAACAACGAGCAAAATAGCAGCAACGCTCGGTCATGCAAATCATTTCAATACATTCGGTGGAAATCCAATTGCCTGTTCTGCTGGTATAGCCACTCTTGAGGTAACTTGTTTCTGTTTTCTTAATGCTGATGAAGTTTTAATTATGACTTTCAAAATTAATATTTGGTTTTAGGTTATTGAAGAAGAGAAATTGCAAGATAACTGTAAAAAAGTCGGAACATATTTATTGAAAAATCTAGAAAAATTAAGAGATGAATTTGAAATAGTGGGTGATGTCAGAGGTAAAGGTCTTATGATTGGAGTTGAAATGATAAAGAATAAATCTACTAAGGAGCCTCTTTCAGCAAAAAGGTTTGCTGATATTTGGGAAGATTGTAAAGATATGGGGCTTCTAGTCGGAAGGGGAGGCTTAAATAGCCATGTAAGTAATAGTTAATTTTAAAACTTTAAATGTATTCAATATTTATAATCAATGTGACACAAATGCTTTATTTAATGTTTTACAATATTAAAAAATGAATTGAAATAGGTATTTGGTATAAAAGAACAAAAGAAATCAAAATAATGAAAATAAATAAAATAATTATAATAATAGAATAAGTTTCTCTAAAACATGTCTTGGCCATTTGAGATTCACATAACTTAAGGAAGAAAGAAACACTAATTTTGTTATAGTAAAACCAAAAATATTGTAAATATTCTCATTTTAAAAATAAGAATTATAATTTTTTTTTTTAATTTAAATATTTTAATAGTTAAAATAATATATCTTTTGGCTTCTAAAGTTTTAAAATGTAACAAAATTCAATTTAAAATTAACAAAAGTTTTAAAAAGTATGAAAATTCAAACTTACGACTTAATTCATCTTATAAAATCATTAATCTATAAAACAGAAGGAAAATTAACAAAGACAATATTTTAGTAAAAAACTTAGTCTCTATGTAAAAAAAAAGAGATTCCATTTACTTAATTACTTGCTTATCCAGCGCTACAAACCAATATTAACTTTGGCCTCCCTCACCAGCTGTCTCGATCCATCGCCCTTCTCCTCCACGCCGTCACTCCAAACTTAGCCAATTCATTCTCCACATCCTTCAGCCAGCTTATTCTTTTACCTTCAAAATCTTCCTCAAATATCTTTCTCAACATTTATTCTTCTGGCAACCTTTCAATGTGCCCAAGCCAACTCTCCTTCTTGATTTAATAAATTTGACTATATCCTCATATCCTATGAGGTCATCAAGCTCTCTATTCTTTCTGATTCGCCAGGTGCCCTCTGAGCATACTAGGCCGAAAATACGTCTTAATATTTTCTTTCAAATATTTTCTTATATTAAATATTTTCTTTCATTAATTTCTTATGGTCATAATGGGCTTTGTTTCCAGTCATGATTCTGCTTTTGATCTCATCAGTTCTCTTGTTCTCGCAGTTTAATTCCACTCCAAAGTAGGCGAATCTATTAACACCTTCAATGCGATAGATACTCACTACTTAATCTTGTAACCTTCTTCTGATTGTAGATGCAGATACTACCATATATTTGGTTTTTACTTCATTAATCACTAGCGGTTTGATTTAGTATTTGTAAAATTTCTGTGAATAATAGTTTTTTTTATTTCGATACATAAAGTTATATTATTTTTACAAGTTTGCAGAGAAAAAATAAGAGGATAAAACAATTTTGAAGTTGCGATTTAAGATTACTGTTTGCTGGTTTCAAATGTTTTTATGTGACTTTTTCTTTGAGATCCCATTTGTTTCATAGGTGAAGACTCAAATATTTTGGTTTTTTTTTTTCAAAGTTACTTGCACATTTAGATCACTGTAAGGGGATTATCTTAGAATGACTTCTTTGTTCTGCGACTGGACTGCACTCAAAACAGACTGTAACTAGATGTTCCAAGACATTGTTATTGTTTTTTATTAAAAAAAAAATGTTTATGTATATATACATATGTAAATAGGCTATATATAGTTATATATTGATAGTCATTCAGATATGAATGGGGCCACTATGCTAGTTGATTTCGATGCTTACACCACCTATGGATTTGAATGTGTTTTATTAGCGCATATTGCACTTAAGGCACTTCATGAATTGTAGTGATATATATTTTGTCCCAATGTTCGTTTAAAAGATTTTAAATATCCATTTCACAGAAAAGATTTAATTTGCCCATTATTTCGAAAATGTTTGCCCATCAATATAAATTTTAAATAACTATTTCAGACAACTTTGATATTTTAGCTGTATCTTTAAGAAATATGTAATATTTATAAAATAAATATTGGTCCTGCTTTATTGTAGTCAAGGATATTTTATTTCAGGTTATGAGAATAAAACCACCGATGTGTATAACCCAAAAAGATGCAGACTTCACTATTGAAGTCCTTCGCACTGCGATCCAGAAGAATGTAGAGAAGTGTTCTGCCCATTAATACAATGATCATCAAGGCCTCGAATGTTGCATTCATTTTTCATTCTAAAACTGCATGGTTTATAATTTAACCTGCTCTGTTTTGTACTGATAGTCATTGTGAACAATTATTTTTATTTTCAGCATTTAGTGCGAAATGCTTAATATTTACATTCCTACTTGTAGGAATATCTGTTAAGATATTTAAGTGTAAGCTGACTATTTTAGTACTAACTTACTCTTAGATTTAACCATTGAGTATTTTTAGTAGAAATATTGTTTTGTATTCATTCCTATAAAGACTAGTCAATTTTTTTTTAATTTATCAAGTTATAATCTTGTATTTTGAGTAGAAAAAATGACTGAACAAATATTTACACCATTTTATAAAAATGAAGTATTTTTTATCAATTTTATATCAGTGATTTCAGTTTCAAGAGAGAATTCTGCTTATATATTTTATATAATTATCATTCCTGTAACAGATTTGAATAATCTATCATTTCTTCTTAAGGTTTATTTTTATTAGGGAAGCAAAGAAATAGTAAGATTTTTTCCGTTATTGAAGATCTTACACCATACCTCTTAAGGAGCTCAAAATGCCTTAAGTCAGGTTAGAAAGTCAAATAAGCATATGCTTTCATCACTTTTTCGTTTATTCATGTTAATTAGTTTTTTAGAGCCTTGGCTTGTGACAAATAACAAGGATTAGAATAACATAATGTAAAATTAAGGCTATTTATATCTGCAATGTATAACAAACATTCCATTTTGCCATTTGAAATCTCAAAGATGATCGTACTCTTCTTTTCCTTCTTGCTAAGGACCATTCCAGTGATTATGAGTGTTCTACATTTATTATATTTCAAGGTTGTTTATCTTTTGTTTGAAAAAAATATTATATTTCAGTTAATACTTTTTTAAAATGTTAGATATTTTGTACTTTTATAAATTGTAATATTATAAATATATTTTGTTTTCAATTGTATCATCATTTTAATTATACCATTATACCAAACAGTGTGGCTTTATTATAGAATTTACCAGCCCATATTACTTAAGTTTAACATTTTGGTAACTTTAAGCAATTGTAAAAAATAATAAATAAAAAGTAAATATAAACACAGAAATATAACTTGTTATATTTATTTAATTACATAAATAACTTTTGTTTTTAGTGTAAGATGATATTTATATAAACGTTGTATTAAAAAATTTATCAATATAGGTTTTGATGTTTATGACCGTTCAATAAAACAATAGCAGTTTATTTAAACATATTTAATCAACATCTAAATACAGAAGAAATCAAAACACGCTTGACTTTTTGTGTTTTATCTCCTCCTGGTTACCTTCTTTACCAAAGAGTCACAAACCATAACACTTCCACTCCCATTAAATAAAAAACAATTTATTGTTAATAATTATTTTCATAGCATTTGGATTATTCCAATTCTGAACATATAGCACTAAATGTGTCGCCAAGTCCAATTGAAAACCACAAATGTGAAAATAATCTAATTTAATTTATGAGTTTAAAATTTGTACTCACTTTCCTGATGTGAAAGTTCAGAATCTTGTTTTCCCAAAATTTGAATTTGAAATTAATTGTTAAGAATTTAGACCAACTATATCATAGGATTATTATAATTTCATCCCTCCATTCAATCATTCTGGTTAATCTGCCAAAAACTCCTTACCTTTTAAAGCTACATAAATATAAGTTCAATCCATTGTATCATGACAATTCTTATTTGTTCTTTAATAAATTCTTCTTTGAAATAGTTAGATTAAAATTGTAAACTCAATGATGATGAGATCCTTCAGATTACAATAGAGCTTTGTCGAGCTGATGACATCCAACCCAGGTTATATCTGTACAATGTTGTTTAATCCCCTGTTCTGCGTTCACTTTTTCCAATTCTGAATTTTTTATAAAGGTGAGGTTTCATCCTGTTATGGCCCATTCTTGGTCTAAAGAATATGACTTGCTCTTTTCTGAACCTGTTATACAGAAAAGGTACTATGAAAGGTAATATTTGTCGTTGGTCATGATGTGTTTGGAGATCATTACACCTTTGGTGAATGCCTGTTTTATTTATAGTGATCACCTTCTGTTGAATGTTCAAGTCATATTGTCAACTTGAGGGAAAGCTGCTCTAATCAGATCGCTCGGCTACTTTAGTAAAATTCAGCTTTATTCATAAGGTTTCCTCTATTAAATGGCTATCTCTTTCGAAATTCATTAAGAAAACCAAAATCTTTGTTACAAATTAATTTTGAGGATTTTCATTGGTTTTTCTTGAAAAAGGAAAAAAAAGATCAATAGGCCCATTTGCCAGCATTATTCTCCCCATCATTACCCGTATACCAATATTATAAGAAAACTTTTTACTTTTATTAATTATAACATTATTTATACATTTTGATTTTATTAATGCCATTATTTTTTTAATCCATCCAAATACCAACATTTGTGCTCTTATGTGGAATTTTCCAGTCCATACCGTTTTCAGACAAGTTTAATGTTTCGCAAACTTTGATTATTTGTATAATGAAAAAAAGGTAAATTTAAATATAGAAAATTTATACATTTATTTAATTACATAAATAACTTTATTTTATATTTAACATGATTTTTAAATAAAAAAAACTATATTAAAAAATCATTATAGGCATCAACTACATAGTAGTTGATGACAATACATATGCAATTAGATACAGATTATCTACAGTTAAGTAGGTACTTAAGAATACTTTGAACAATATTTAAAAAATACTTTTGACTCGCTATAGAAATCACATTCATTTAAAATTAAGTCTTGATGACTATAGTATGCAGGTTTTTTCTTCTTTTTTTTCTACATCTATTTACAAACATTAATGATATAACAATGTAAGTTGATTTTACTATTATTTTCTGATAAGAAAGGAACAGGAAGCAGTATATCGGCAGCCATGCTGCAAAAGTCTTTATGAACAATTTTATTAGAAGCTATGGTTTTGAGATTTTCGAGCCAATCTTGACTTCACACATATTTAGTAATACATACCAAAGATGTTACTTAGAAATTATATCTTTCTCTTGACTCATGCAATAAAAAACTGAATAAAATAGAAAGTTCTTAAAATAGCAAACTAGCTTTTGCAAGATGGCTTTCGGTATTACGTTTTTTGTGCCTCTAGTATTATTTAACAAATAAAGTATTCAAAGTAAAATTTCTTTTTTTGTCCTATCTTTCGCATACCTCTGCATCATGCAATAAAAATACTTTGATGTCAACACTTCAGAGTTAATCTAGACTGAATGGTTTATTTTTTAATTAATCTAATTAACTCCTTCATACTTCAGTAGAACAAATCATGTTCTGTTTTATTTATAACACAATAAACTGGAAGTGTTAATAAAGCTCAACTTTAAGAAATGGTATCACATTTCAAAGTTTTTACTTGACTTTAATATTAGAAAATGATTTATGAGGTCAAGTTGAGTAGCAAATGAAATTGATTTACTTTTATAATAATAATTTGGTCTAATAATCCTTATGACTGATTGCTGTTTCAATTATTGTCAATTATTCTTATCACTAGTTATCTTTTGAATACTATTATCGACTTATTAACGCTAAAACAAAAACTTTGTTATATATCACAGACTAACACAGTCCTTCATTGAGATAACACCATTGAGGTATGATTTGATCCACTGCTATTCCCCTTCTTATCATCCTTTCCCTCATCTCAAGCAGGCGATACGTGGCCACGCTCGAGTCAGTCGTCGGAGAGGACCATAACCTTTCAGCTAAGGCCGATGCCCTAGGCCATATACGGGTATCCATATTGTTAGAGTCTGCATACTCACTCCAAAGGGAAACTTCTCCTCCTAAAACTAAATGAATAACAGATGAAAACAAGATTTTTAAGCGAAAACGAGTAGTGAAGTGAATTTAAAAGAAAATATATAGAATTAAATAAGTTATGATGCTGAATATTTCTCATTAGTAAATGAGAGGCTGTCATGGTCAAGCATGTATATTATCCAGTAATTTGTTAAAAATTAGAACGAATATCAATGGCACAACATTTCAAACCAATTCAAAGGTTTTTAATTGTTAATCCTAATGTAGAAAAATGATTACAGCTGAGAGTTATCATGATTCTCTTCATTGTTTATTTTCTTTTTAGTTGTAAATATGCATTTTAAAGAATAAATTGTAGTTCTATTAACTTTTTTTTTACTTTCCATTACATTTTATAACTTTACTTCCATATATTAGTGATTAAGATTTTATATCATTCAAGTAGCAAATAGTTAAGATTTACCTTTAGGAAATTCTGGAATCTTGTAATCGTAGACTTTTTTCCAATTATGATACAATGTATTTCCCCAAAAGCCATGGTCTAAATACCAAACATCTGTACTAGCATAAATCAACCCATAACCTAAAGCTATGAGTTCTCTTGGAATACTATCAAATTGACTAGTCCAAGCTTCAATTATATACCTAAAATTAAACAGACAAACTCTTTTATGTACAAAAATGATTACCAAAATAATTATTTTGCTCATTAAATAAAAAAATTGGTGAATAGCTAAACCATTATTTGATTAAAATTTTGCAATAATTTCAGAATATTGAGACAGGTCAAAAAATATTTAAAGAACGTGTATCTGAAAAAGTTTCAGTATGGAGAAAAAACATTTGGTCCTCATTTTCAGAAATAAATCAAAAATTGAATATATATATATATATATATATATATTATATATACATAAACCATTTGCACACTGGCTTATTGATTACTGTTTGAATTGGAAACTGTTATTGTTGGTGGGGTGGAAATCGTAGTTATTCATTATTAAAATTAACATTTATATTTCTGTTACTTGTATCAAAACTATGATCTTAACTCTTTTTTAATCTGAATGATAATAATTTTAAAAAAGTCTGTACCTATCTTTATCTAAGGAATTTGTGATAGTTTCAGGTCTGGTTAGATCGCTAGTCCATAGCACAACTTTTGTATTAGAATGCCCGATAGCTGCATCCCAGGTTTGAAGTGCTTTTTTATGAAATTCAGTCCATAGCTGCATAAACCCTTCGGTGGTCCTAGGATATTTACGAAGCCTCATATAATTTATTATTTCATCAGATGAGTTCCAACATCCTAAATGGACCTGGAAAATAAACAGCATAATATAACACTTTTCACTCACTTTGATGTGCACAAAAATAATATATTAGGCTATCATGGTTAAAACATTGATGAAAAATAAATAAAATCATGTTTTCTTAAGATATGTTAAAATTTGGTTATTAGTTTTGGTTTTGAAAATAAATTATGTTGTTTAGGATATGCAGGGATCTCCAAACTATGGTCCACAAAAGTTTCTTTGATTATGGAGTAACATTTTAAAAACTATTAAAAAAAAAAAAAAAATGAAATTTAATAAATCGCTTAAACATGAGATTACTATAACATTTATTGCTTGAATTGTTTCTCTTTGAAAGCTGAGTTCACAATTAAAGTGTGACTTATTGAACAAGCTTTTTTTTTTAATCACAAGCCTTTAGTACATTATTTATAAGGTTGATGTAGTTGCATCTCTCAATATTACCAAAACAATGTTTTGATCTCAGTAGCACCAAACTCTAATCGCTCATTATTGTTTATCAACCTTAAAGATTTCATTATTCTTATGTGAGAATAATGGTTGTCCTTGTCGATCAATGTAGGGAGTGTTTATAAAAGATAAATTTTATTATTTAGTTTTATTTCTATTTTCATCAATGTTTTCACCCACAGTGCAGATCTTTAGAACTAAAAAGCTTGTAATTAAAAGAGAAGTTATGTAAAGGGATCCAATGGTAAGGGAATAATTGTAAGCTTTATATTATCACTATGTTCTTTTAACTATTACTGTAAAAACTTTTTTTTTTTATTTACCAATATTTTTACATACCTCATCACCTCCCATATGAAAAATATCCTCACTTGGAATCAAATCTTGCAAATTTTTATAAACCCCACCTAAAACTTTGTATAAATTATCATTTGCAGGATTCATTTGACCGCAAGGTGGTTGGACACAGGATGCTTGCCAAGGAGGACTGTTTCGACATAAAACTAACTTTCCAAGACCTTCTTGTTCACCAAATTGCCAACCATTACCTATTAAAAAATAAAGCATGATTCAGTATTTTTAAAACAATATATTTAATAGTATTTTATTGATCTATATTAGGATTTTTGGAATAAGAACGTTAATTTCTCAGGCACAGAATTTCATAGTGACTACTTTTAACAGTACAGTAAGACCCGTTTATAAGTTCTGGTCATAGTCTGGACATTGCTGGTTAAATGAGAGAGCTGGTTAACCCAGTCTGTTTACAAGTAAAAAGATTTCAATATTAATCTGATTCTTACAATAAATAAAAATTTAAATATAATACAAAAATTAATCTATAAATCATGTTTATAAATGAAGAAGCTAACTTTATTACATCAATTTATTATAATTTTGAAAATAAATTTCTTTAGACACATGATTAATTTAAAATTAAAAAATGATTCTAAATCTGTGTGAAGCTCCTGTATATATGATAAACATCTTTTTGCCCAAAATCAAACCAATACAATAATTTTGTTCTGTCTGTTTAAAAGCTTTGACAAGAAAATATAATAAGAAAATATCTCTACAAAGAGAGATTTTTGTCAAATTTAAACAAGGGCTCATAATATAAATGAATTTCGAGGTCATGAGAGTACCCCTGTAGCATTGAATTAAGAAATTTCGCTAAGGAGATTTCAACTAGGAAGACGAGGAAGGTTTTGGATGCCATTCAGTTAAAAATGACCAAATGTTAGAAATAGTAAAACTGTAACAGATATCAGTAATTTGTCGAAACACTATCGAGTGCTGCAGAATACTGAATAGAAATACTTAATTTCTTATTTCTTATTTTTATAGCTAGTTAAAAAAAAAATACCTATATTGACTTCTGCAAATTGGTTTCTGAATTCTTTGTGGTATTTAAATTTTGAGATATTTTAATCCAAATGTTAAAAAAAACTTGTTATCATTTGGGTTTTTCAGTCTATCTTTTTCCTTTTTTGCTTCTCTTACACGAAGTCGCGACAAGATACAATTTTGAATAATAGCTCATCACAAAGAGGATGAAATGATGAACATTTTTCTTGTTTACATATGAAGATCTGATTTTTAGTTTCTAAGATATTTTAATACAAATGCAAAAATTAGTTTACTCGAGCCGAATTTTCGAACGAAAGGTTCTGGTCAAAAGTGAACAAAACATTTTTCAAACCCTGAATTGCACCTGAAAACATTATGGTCACAACATGGTGATCTAAAGCCTGTGTTATCCACTACAGCTTTCTCAATTGCGACAAGACTATCACTGCTGACATGTACTGCCAAGAAGTTGATGTCATGTATCGAAAGCTGCAAAATCTTTGCTCATCATTGATAAACCGGAAAAGGCTGATGCATCCCCATGATAATGCCCAGCCATATATTGCAAAACCAATGCTCCAACAACTGCACAACTTGAAATACCAAATCTTTTATGTTGAACACCCATCCTGTGTTTCTTTGTTCACCCAAACTTCTCTGACTTCCACTTTTTCAAACACTTGGACATGTTTTTACAAGATAAAAACTTCTGTAGCCGGAATGATGTAGAAAATGTTTTATAGGATTTAATTTTTTCCAGGGATTTGAATTTGTTTTTCTGATGGAATAAATATGCTTGTTATATGCTGACAAAATTATATTGATTCTAATAGAAATTATTATGAATTAATATATCTATTGCTGAAGTAAAGATATGTCATATTTTGAGTAAATATAATGTTTTGCATCAAACCTACATATTAATGAACTTTTACTTTCAATAATTTATTTATGTGATAGTGACAATGCTGAAAAAGTCAACTTTGTGAAAAAACATATTTAGATATTTATTTTCCTTTTTACTGTCAGTTAAGAGGGTTCTAATGTACTCTGGAAAAATATTTCCAGAAATATTTTACTAATAGACTTATGAACAAAAATAAATTAACATATATTCAAATTTAAACCAAAAATCCTCTATTAACTTTAAGTCAGTTCTAAAACCATACCTGCATGAGCTGGTGAATCAATCTCCATTAGAATTCTGACACCTCTGAATTTTGCATAATCGACTAGATATTTTATATCTTTTTCAGTATACACTTCCTTTGGTGAATATGCTCCCAACCTAGAACATAATATTAGACATTTTTAAAACAACTTTGGAGTAGTAATTCCTGATCTATTTATTTTAGAAGAAACAATTCATTTTTGTCTTTGATAACAACTTTTAAATATAGTTTTAACTTATAAATATAATTTTCTTTTTTTGGTTTACCCTACCGCTCAGTCATTGGCAAATCTTTATTTTAAACTCTGTTATAGAATTACACTAATTTCAAAAATTCAAATTTTTTTTTTTATCACTTTTCTTAGGCATATAAATGTTTTTGTTAAACTTAATTATATTATTTTTTCTTTATTATATTGTTTTGATTTTCTAAAGAAGTGTCTTACTTATGTATTTATATAGATTATTTTAGACTTTTTGTAACACTAATGCAATATTAAAATGCTTAATTATGTTTAAAATGCATAATTTAAGAATATTTGAGGCATGTTATAGGATTTTTTAATGCATATTTTAGAAGTTTTAACTGCATAAACAGCAGTTATAATAATACAATTAGTTAAGTTGGGCATAATTAATCTCTTGATTGATTGATAATTTTCCTGATAATTGATAATTGATAATTGATTGGAGATAAATTTCCCTCCACTGTACCTTTTCTAATCAAGTCTTCTTGATGGAGGCTTCCCTCCATTTTTATTAACTGTATTACTACTTTAAAAAAAGGGCCATTACAGGTATTTGCTATATTTCTTTTTCTTCAGGTAATATTGTGAATGCTACTGTAAATGATTTTATTGCAAATATTAAAATATTCCACAGTTAAAGGCATCAATTAATATTATATTTATTACATTTCGGATCTATTTATACATTAGCACTAGTATTTTTAAGTATCTGATGTCTCTTTAAGTAACATTTCAAATAATGGTCTAAAATAAAGTATAAATAACCAATGAAAGATCATTCTTCCACAGTTAAAGACATCAATTAATATTATATTTATTACATTTCGGATCTATTTAGATATTAGCACTAGTATTTTTAAGTATCTGATGTCTCTTTAAGTAACATTTCAAATAATGGTCTAAAATAAAGTATAAATAACCAATGAAAGATCATTTTTTCATCTCTAAAGGATCACTAAAATTTTTTTTTTGTTAGAACAAGTTTTCAGATATTTATTATAACCATTGACTTTTGAAAAATTTGCAAGCGATTCGAAATTTATATAAAAATAAATAAAATTCAAATTTATTTTTAAAATACAATGTTTTCCTTATGACATTATAAATACAATAATGACATATTGAAGAAAATAATTAATAGTTAAAAGTAGAGAAATATTTAAATAGCAATAAAAATAAGATTAATATGAATATAACATTGTAAACATCAAGAAATGACTATGGGCTCTCTGACCACAAAGTATGTTAATAATTATTATTATTATTTTTTTAATCCAGAAACATAGAGACTGACTGTTTGATTATTAATGAATTTATTTAATTTGTTTTTAAGTCCAGAATTAGGTTTTGGTAAATACTTGCACAAAGAATTATTATAATAATACTTACTCTGCTAAAGCAGGAACTTTGCTGAGAGCAAGGGGAAAACTGTGGGTGTCAGTGGCATGCCAATGAAGAACATTAAGTTTGTTCGCTGCCATACCTCTGATTGTTCTTTCGAGATCGGCCATTGGAATATAGTGCCTAGAGGTGTCAATAAGAACACCTCTATGTCCGAAGACTGGCTTGTCCCTGATTAGTGCTGACGTCATCATATACACGCTACAGATTGATTTGGGACTGCGGCGCCTGCCAGTCAGTTGGGAGAGAGTCTCCAAAGCATGCCTTGCTCCAAATACAGTCTTTGCAACAATCTCAACATCAATATTGTTACCTAAAGATATCAAAATAAGAAAATATCAGTAAATTACAAATTATAAAAGGCACTCAGTAAATTAATGCTTTTTAAAAGTACTAATTACTGAATGAGGATAGATCATAAATGTACTCAAAGAAACAAATTTTTAATAGCTTAGTTGATACTTTTTTCTGTTGAATTGAATCTATTAAAAAATTCTGTTTTTAGTTTTGAATTTAATAAATTAATTTACATTATGGCTATATTAAAAAAAAAAAAAAAAAATACCATTACATAAATGCCCTTTACTTGTCAGGAATATGTGTTTTTCAATTAACAATGAATAGTCAGATACTTCCAATTTAATTAAGAATAAAGGCAATAAAAAGCATAAATGAAAATTTGCTATATCCTGATAATCTTAGGAGTTTCATCACTTTGATACGAAGCAGTTAGCTAAAAAATAGTTTTATGTATATAAAAAAAGTTTTGTTGAGAGACTAAGTCTTCCAAGAATAATTACAATGTTCCAATTTTAAATACATTGCCTGGCTTAATATTCACTTGACAAATATCTGGAAGTCATTTTTATAGAAATTAATATTGCTTACATAAGTGCATTATGAAGTATGTGGAAGAATAAATTTTAAAGAAATACAAGGAGAAGCATTTATGAATAGAGATGGATTAAGTATGGGTTAAAGTGATCTGAAGTTTTAAAAGATAAACTTAAATATATGTAAAATAGTGAATTAGGAAATATGTTATTGTTTCAATATAAAATTATTTGATTCAAGCAGGGTACATTGCAATAGAATGTGGTTGACTGGGTGCAAATGGTCGACACCAAGAAAGGAAGCGAAAGCAGATGAAGGTAACAAGAACCAACAGACTAAAGAGTAAGTAATTCTTTTGGTTTTTCTATTCTTTTAATTATTGGGTTTAAAGTGAATAGTTTTGGATGTAAATGATGATCAAGAAATTTTTATATGATCAAGTTCAACAAAATCTTTTATATGACTCATAAAGGTTTATTCATATATGTTCATATGTTTATACATGTTTTATTCATAGGCCTAAAATATCTCAAATATAGGATGCTCATGATATTAAGACTCCTATTTTTCAAAGTTTTGTAGAGAATTTGATGGATGAAATAATGATAAATATTGTAACTTGAGAACTTTGGAAATAGCTAACTCTTTTGTAGCACTATTTTCTTAGGCATTTGAAAAATATAAATAAGTAAAAACAATAACAAACAGACACCTGATTTAAATGTATTTCAAAAAGAGTAATAGTTAGGAATAAACTTTTTAGTTGTATTTTATAAGTATTTTGCTTTAAATTTAATTGTGAGAATCAATCTAGTATTATTTAAAAAATTCTTTTCTTAATTTTTTTTTTAATATCTTAATTGTATGGATTGGATTTAAGTCTTCAAAATCAAGACTATTGAATTTAAGGCATAACCCATTTTAAAACTTTAATGACTAGATGCAATATGTTATACATCTATTTTTATCATTAAATTTCTTATTAAATGGGGGAAAAAATAGGTATTCTTTTTATCAAATCGAAATAAATGGTCAACGAATCAGAAAATTACTATTATTATTTTTACTAAGCTGTTTTTTCCTTTTACATTGAGCATGAACAGCTGTCAAATGGCACACACACCCATGAAAATTTGGAATTTTGTAATTAAATAATTATATATCAAGACTCAAGATTACTATTTTTCATATTTTTATTCATGTTAATATTCTTATTATTCTGTTTCCCTTACCAGGTACATGTGAAACTCGCAGCTTGTATTCTTCATTTGTTGTCATATTAAGTACGAGATTTTCTTCAGATACTTTATATCTTACATTAACAGCCACACTCGATGGAGCGATTGGGTCTCCCCCACATTCGGTTACTAAATTATCGCGGAATATTTCAAAAACCTCATTCATAAAAGTTTCAACTTCTCCTCCACAACATTCCTTTGTGAGATACATTTTTTTCGGGCTGACCGGCACTAATTCACTCCTAAAAAAAAAAAAAAAACTTAAACTGACTAAAAGCTATTAACATTATATTATAATATTTTGTCAATCGAACTCTCTTCCATGCATATTTATTTATTCTTTTGCCAATAGTGTATTAAATTCTTGTAAAATAAGTATGATTTTTAGTTTGTATAATTCATTAAAATAACAATTAAATTGATGATATACTTGCAATTTAAAACATTTATGGTGTCTTGGGATAAACAAGATATATAAGGGTGAATGAATGAAAAAAAATTCACTATCAATAAAAATGTAATTGTATGTTATGTAGATCTTAGTAATTATTTGCTTTATACAAATATACATAGTAGGTATAGATCAATAAGTATATAACCATGTTTGAATTTAATAAATTTTAAGATTTGACCACATCCTGTAATTCCTTAATTAGTAATTGTCAATGGTTCTTTCTATTATATTGTAAATACCACAATCTTTTATGGAGGCTTTATTTTTAAACAGATCTGATGGTAGTACTGCCAACAGTTATTTCCACACCCATAATATTTTATTTTATTTGGTTTTTGAACCTTTTTTGGGATGAGGCATGGTCCATGTCTTCTTCATTCATGAGAAGCTGCTTGAAATGTTCCTTCCTGGTGTCAACGTAGGGTTCACTTATATTTACAGCCAGCTAGTTGTCTTCAGTAATTTGCAGTCTTTATTTTGAGGAATTATCTTTTTCTTAGTGACCTGTGGCCTATATTTATTAAATAAAAACATAATAAAATGGCACTGCACTGACAAGAAAATTATTTTTTTCCTCTTTTTATAATTTCATTTGTATTTTTCCTGTTGGTTGTGTAGAGTAAGTTGATCTAGGTAGGATATTATTTTTCTTCTTTCCTGCTTATGTTTTCTTCAATTGAAATCACACAAAAATAATGGTTGCTTCCAAAAAATGTATTACCCCATAAATACACTTTATGGTCATATGTCTTAACCTAGTCCCTATAGCCATTTCTTTTTATCATAACGGTCTTCATCTCAGGGACCCCTTTCTGCTATAGCCTCCTCTAAACCTTCCAACCGTCTCTTTTCCGGGCGATCTATCTTTCTTCTTTACAATGGTACATATTGAAGTATTCTTCTAGGCTATCGGTCTTCCGTCATTCTCATTACATGCCTAAACCAACTCAGCTTTTTTGTCTCAATGGAGTCCAGGATGTTAAGGGATTCGTTCACTTTATCCCTATTATTTGGAACATGTTGTAATCTTGATATTCTACAGCTATGTCTCCAAAAATCTATTTCCATTGATAAAAATTTACTTGCTGAGTTGGTTGAAATCATCAATTGATTTCTGAGGCATATAACAAAGTGCTTATAATAAAGGAATGGTATAATTTCTTTTTCGTTTGGAGCATGACTTCTTTATTCCATAGAACAGAACTAAAAGTGCATATAATCTTTCTACCTCTGATGATTTTTTCATCAATATCTTTCTTGTTATTGCTCCCCTTCACAAGCCAACTGCCTAAATATTTAAATTAATCAGTTGAGGCTTATCCCATTCACCAACATTTAATGAAAAGTTTCCACTATTATTGAATGCCATGTATTCAGTTTTTGTTTTTCTGATTTGACATAAGCTTACAGCTTCCTCATCATAAAGGAAGCATCTTCTTCGTCATTTTCAAAAATGACCTGGTCATTGGTAAATTGTAAATTGTACAGGCATTCATTATCTTATATAATGATTATCCTCATACCATTACCATATACCTCATACACTTTCTTTTCCATAAGCTAAGGACATTTTCAACGTATATATTAAACAGTTGAGCGGGGAGTAAGCAGCCTTGCTTGAGGCCTTTGGTATTGGAAATTCCTTTGATAGGCCATCTTTGAGCTCAACGATACTAAATAAGGTTTCATAATATGTCATTTTTTTCTGGTCAATTGTTCTTTTCAATCAAACTGAAAAGTTTATATCTACAAGTTCAGTGAAATTGATAATACCATTGATATGTTAGTAACCATTTTTGTCAAATATTTTGAGGTTTAATGAAAAATAATCTATACATATTATAAATGATACATTAAGTGTGTAACATAATTACCCAAGTTCACCAGCCAGTGTAGGTAAAGGCCAAAGATTACCATATTTCCCACATAGCAATCGGCAGTTTTCCATTGATTGAAATGTTGTAGAATTTGTACTTTTGTTCAGGCCATCGAGGGTAATTTTTGCAACACAATTTCCTTGAAAGCATACATATCTGAAAAAATGAAATTTATAAAACTGGCAGATGATTTGTGTGTATATAGTATATACCTAAATATACTAGATATCTATGTACATACAAATTCATAGAATAGCTTTTATTGGATGTGATATTGATCTAAACTCTCTTCTTTATTAATTGATGAATTTTCCAAAATATTTTGTTTTTTTTTATTGGTCACTGTTTTATACAGATATATTCTATTTAAAATTATTATAATTTTTTAAAATAAGAAGTTTTAAATTCGTCAAATCGTCCATTTCCTACCTCAATGATAACATAACTATTTGGGAGTGAGGCTAGTAACTATGAATGTTTTAGCAGGATGTAAACCGAATTCTCCTTATGGAATGCTCTGAATTTTCCAAATTTCCTTGTAATTTTCAGAAGAATTCCAGATTTTGAGGTAGTTGCAATGCCAATAATCAATTAAAATTAAAAATAAAATTAAGAATAGCCAAAAAAATCTTGATGGCCTTTTTAAAAACATAAATTGATATAGTGAAACTATTGAAACAATTGCTGTTGTAGAACCTCCAAATTGAACTTCACTAAAATTCATTACCCCATTAAAATATGCCCCTAATTTAATAATTTAAAAATTATTCTGGGCATCTCAGATGCTCAACCATTCATTGCCCCTCATATTTTTGAGAGATCAGGTTTTCTTAGAAGTTAAATTTAAATTATATTTATGGTTAAAAAAAAAAAATTAAACAATAGCTTTGAATTAAACAAAGTATGTGGTAGACACAGGGGGATCTACCTCCCCCCCTCCCGGGGAGGAGGAGGACTTTCCTGTTGAAGCATCTCCCCCCCAAAATGGTCAAATATAACCATGTTTTATAGAAAAAAATATTTAAAACTATCTCTTAAAGTATTATTGTTCGTGTTATTACATTTAATAGAACTTCAAAAATAACTTAAACACCATGTCATATAGGTAGTATAGTTTCTTTCTTTTTTTTTCGAATTAATTATCGTTAAATATATGAAAAAAAAAAAGCTTTGGGGCTCCTCCCTCTCCCAAAATTAAATCCTGGATCCGCTAGTGGTGGTTCAGGAAGACAACAGCGATAAATAAGCCTTTACTCGTGTAATTAGATAAACAACTCGTGAAGTTGTAGCCAACACGTGTGCCCACTTGTGAACATCAACACACACAGCAACAGATTGCCCTCTGTTTACAAACATTTTTTTTTTCACACAAACGGATATCGTCAGCTTCACATTTAAAATGCTTTAAAGCAACTGCTACAAGGTATTTAGAGAGGGACGAATTGGGCGTTTTTTCAAATACACCCACGAATTCTTAGAATAAGTGTTATCAGCGGATTCATTTTACGAAAAGACACAGCTGGAAACCATTTAATATTCTAGATCAGGAGTCTCCAAACGTTTTGTCTCGCGGGCCACATTGATGAAAAAAAAAACTTCTATAAATGACACATCAGTTGTGAAATGAACTTTCTAAAAGAAAAAAAGTGCCATAAATGTAGTAACTTCTTGTGCGAGCAATTTTCTAAATTTCATTTAATTTTTTTTTAATAGTTTCTAAAGTGTTACCATTTAATCAAAGAAACTTTGGCCGTAGTTTGGAGAACCCTGTTTTATATAATCCGCATGTAGGGTAGCCAAGTTTTTTAAAGTTACAAAATAGGACAGTACTACATCGGTCGAGGGTGACAATGGAAACTTCTTCGGGTAAAAAATTAATTACAAATTGTGTAATAAAAAAGGCGTGAGCAGTAGAGCTCCGTCACCATGGTTCTATTTTTAATTTAAAAAAAAAATAGAAAGGCATTAAATTGTTTCATTGACGTTAAATAGAGAAATAAAAGCTTAGTAAATTATTACCCAATGGTTTATTATATTCAAATAGTTAGAAGTTCAATCTGTATAGCGTACGACTTTACCTAACACATTGGAAAACATTTATAAACAATGATTAGGACGTTTAAAAATATTTATTTAATAGTATATCTTTTTAATAAGCTACGTATATAATTATAAAAATTGTCATACCAGAATTAGGACTTTAAAGGACCTGGGAGATATAAATTTTAAAAAAGCTTACAGTGCGTGAACTGATAAACCGTTTTTAATGAAATATGGCTTTAGTCTTCTCTAAGAACTTTAAATTTACGTCTATAATAAACTTCACCTAAAAAAAACGAAAAAAATAATTACGATGTTAACATTGGATATCACAAAAAGACAAAAAGTATTAACTTGGTCATTTGAAACTACATTACATTACCAACAAAATAAAAAAAAAAAAACCCATGAAATCGGACGATTTGGTAAAAAGATATGTTGTTCCAAATTTTCTAAAGCTGACCATTGTTTTGTCTTAAAGAAACTGTATGACGGATCATTGTAATTACAGGACGGATTTCGATGAATGTTTTTTTATCGTTTAGGAAATTTAAATGTCTTCAAAATGAGTTCTGAACAAAAAAAAGGTAAAAAGTTTGAGTTATTCGCAAATAAAGTTTTGTATTCGTCAAAACTTCTTTTCTACTCCTTCTTCGAGAAAGTACGATATATACACAACTTTAGAGTGTTTCATGTGAATACAATAGGAAAGTTTTAATCACTACCGTTACAGCCGTTTTAGTGCTGTAGTCTAGAGAGAAATGGATTTTTCCGCCACCATCTTGAAACAAAATGGTGGCTAGTGATGGGACCCCCTAAAGGCACCTCTCCAACACCAAGTTAGTAAATTTATAAAATTTCAACCTTCCAACTTTGCTAGGAGGAGCTGTGGAGATGCGCAATACTTTAAAACAGAGATATCGTGAAAAAACGTTCTTACATGCTGAAATTTAAAACACACACACACACACACACACATACACATATAAATTGCATAAACATAAACATCTCTAAAAATTGCAGAATCGTGCTCTAGTGATTCCAAAACGGATAGAAACCGCAACTCTGCCTTCCACTGAAGACTTTCGATACAGTGCAAATAGTCTATTATTTCCAAAAGAAAATAGCCAACAACTGCAACCATGTCTTCAAATATGAAAATGTCTTCAAAATATGTTCTGAACCAAAAAGGACAAAAAGAGTACCCTTTTGAGTTATTAGCAAATAAAGTTTTGTGATCGTCAAAACTCCTTTTCTAGTTCTTTTTCGAGAAAGTATAGCCACTGAAGACTTTCTATACTGAGTAAATAGTCAATTATTAACGAAGAAAAACATTTTAATTTGTAAATTTCAAACTACTGATATATGTATATATTATTTAGACAGGTTAGTACGAAAGAGTGAAGTCATTACAAATTTCAAGATGGATAAATTATGAATTAAATTAAATAAAATCTAGATGTTAAGTAGTTTATTTATATGAATAAAAAGAGTGACCTAATTTTCACTTTAAAATTTCTATATTCATCCAGTGTTCTTGAATGATAGATTTATTTAATAATATAAAGCACCTTATCTTGATCTAGTAAAAGTATTTTATTCTAATTATTTCTATACGAGTTGGTACTTCAATGAAATTTTGAACACTATCAGAGATTTAAAAAAAAAAAAAATTATTCTGATATACATTGGTTAAATTCGTACCAAATTTAAATAAATGTATTCACATATACGAGTACATATATTTTTATTTTAATTCAGTGATATGAAGAACACTATCTCGATAAAATATTGTAGAATCGTCTAGCTACACATCCGTTGGTTTTACATTAAACAAACTACACATGAAATGTATATGGAATTTTTATTAATTTACGTTTTAAAGGAAATCATAACGGAATGCATTGTTTCGGAGTTAGAGTAAAATACTGAAAAAATGATAAAAAAAAGAGTAAAATACTGAAAGTCTGTTTTTTGCGTTAAAACGTTCAAATAAATTTTAGTTCCAAACTTGAAATTTGGATTCAGCACTCGAAGAAACCAATGAAACGGTTGAGAAAACAGGTACATGATTTTTTTCTATGAGCGACTACTATTTGACTCGACATAATTTAGAATTTGAGTTTTTAAAACGAAACAAGGTACGCCTTAGTCAATCCGAATTCTCTTTTTGAAACGCATAATACAAAATGTTGTCAGATCAGTTTTCCGATTAAACGAATCGTCAAATTTTGCTTTTTTTAATTTGAAATTTTATTGAATGAAATTAAAGTCTTTCAATGGATTAATCGGAGTTGTGTGTCAAGATTAAGGCTCTCTACAATTTAAGATGGTTTCTAGCTGTAACTGCCTTCGCTGTGTTAATCCGATTGTGGTCTCTAGTGTAGACTGGCTACTCGATGAGTCCTATAAGGTTTCTTTTAAATCTAAAGCAGGGAAAAGAAATATAGAGTGCCTTTGTTTTCACTAGTTCTGAGAAAACATGTTTGCAGTACAAATGTGATCGGTTTATTGAAAAAAACATTGAGAAAAAAAAGTCATCAAGTAACATTTCATAAAATTAAATCGTTGAATACTTTGATGAATTTTCTCTCTGCAAAATTGGAATAGTGTGGTCTTCGTTTAATAACAGCCGATATATGAATAGGCATGTTTAATTTTGATGCACTGTATTTTTTTACCGATAAATAAGGTCTAAATTCACAAAAATATAATTAAAAGTCCAGTTCCATAAAAAATCTACTTACAATCTACTAAGTACTTTTTAAAAATAAATCGACGTTGTATTCAGCATACTATGAAATGAATTATCAAGTTTTTTTTTTTATACGAGTGACATCGATACTCGGCATAGTTCTTTTATACTATTACTCTCATAATATATTTTCTTTTTATCTCATCCCTTACAAAAACGATAAGACAAGATAAGACTGGCACTTAAAAAAAAAAAGAAAGAAATATCATTTGAGTACTTAAGGCCATATTTTGGTCCTCCGAGCCGGATAGCAGCATTGGAGGTAGAGTTAATTTCTAATATTTATAAATTCCTCATATTTTTTTTTTCTGTTTTGAAACTCGTAATCTGTATTGTTACCAAAATCGTTTTCTTTTGGATCTGTTCTCATCTACAAATTAAAAAAAATATTCAGACAGCTTAAGACTCAGTTTATTGTTACTACATTGGATCGCATTTCGGAACAACCCATGGACACTCATATTTACTAATGAATTCGAGCAGAAACTCAAGAAATAAGTTAAGATAAAGAACTCAATAGTTTGTAATTTTGTTAGGTTACAAATTTCAATCATTGGAAGACGAATTAGTCAAAGCCTTTGTAAGTCAATCCCAGTCCGTATCATTGACTGAGCCCTGGCTCGGTTTATGACACAATTTTAAAGTGTCTAAATTTTGATTTTTTTTAATGTGGGTTCTAAATCTTAAAATGATGAGGAACCAGTTATTCTGAAAAGTAACATAAAATAACTTCGATTATTCATTTTCTTTCCTCTATCAACTGTCACATGAAAAAAGGCAGTTGACTCACAGTATTTAAAGGTCACAACATAAAAAAACAACTTTGAATTTAGAAAACTGGCTTGGTTGATTCTCATCACTGAGTATTCTGACTTGTTTCTCCAACCTTGATTTACTCGCCATTGTATAAATTCTTCCGTATTTTAGGACTTAATAGAACACTACCTCAAGTATCAACAACTAAACTAGTTATTTCTTTATATGGTCTTTCCATTGAAACCAAATGGCAGAAAACAGATTTCGGTATACGTCAGTTAGGAGCCCTTTGTTTTTATATTCCAGCTCTTATTTCCACAAAGCACACAAAATCCTCCTAATGTGGGACTAATCATACTAAAGAAAATAATGTATGTGTTTGTTATAAAGATATGATATTTTACTTACGTCGTTCTGTCATCTTCTTTCTCTATCTCCTTAGTTGTGACGTGAGCATAGAAAATGTTGATAACCGCCACTAACACGAGTAGCGACATAATTACCTGCAACAGATAACAACCATAAATGTATGTTCTTAACATTTTTTAAATATTTTGACAATTATTGATGAGTAATTTTTAAAAATCGCTTAATTATATTATAGAGTTGATAGTCCATCAATTTAAGACATTTTCGTATTGTATTTATTTTTGAAAGACCATAATAAAATTATAAGACAAAACATCTGTTTATTTGTTTGTTCAGTTTGTTTTACTTTCACTTACCTATATATATGTATATATATATTTTTTTTTTGTTCTTCCCTACCTCGCCTTTTAGGCTGTACGGGATTTTCCTGGGCCGGAGGGAGAGGGCGGGGAATTTAAATTCCCCTCCGGCACCGGGATGCGAACTCATACTTTTTTAATCTCCTCAAATCTCTTATCAGGTTGCCAGGCAACTCGAGGTGCATTGCACACGCTTTAGCCCATTAGGCCACCCTCCCCCTTATCACTTACCTATATATGAAGTCACTAGCGGATCCAGGATTTAATTTTGGGGGGGCTTCAGCCCGAAAGTTCTTTTTTTCTTAAAAATAACGATAATTACTTTGGAAAAAAAGAAAGAAGCTATCTACGTGTATGAAATGGTGTTTAAGTGATTCCTAAAGCCCTTTTAAATGTAATTACACGAACAATGATAATTTAAGAGATACTTTTTTAATATTTTTTTCGATAAAACATGATTATATTTTAGCATTTGGGGGGGGGGGAGGCTTCAGCCCGAAAGCCCCCCTCCCCCGTAGATCTGCCCGTGTATGAAATATATAGTAAAGGAAAGTATTGCGATCGTGAAAATTTTCGATTCTGAGTTTTCAACGGAAATACATGTTTTGAGGTCCCCTGAGTTGAAATAACCAAGTCCTTTATATATATTATATATTACGAGTCTAAATAAATTACCTAAAATGAAATTAATATTTAAATTAAAATCACACATGGTCAAAAAAACACGTACGGAACACGGATCGACGTATTGCGAAACGTTTCATTATTGAATCACAGCCCCAAACAGTGACATATCCCCACCGATGGGAACTGGAGAAAACACCCACCCACATCAGGCCACCTTTCTCCGCGACCTACCTGGCGACCAGCGAAGTGCTTGGGCTATTTCCTTTTGGACGACCCTTAACTGTTGTTCTAATTGCCGCATAGAAGGAATATCTTAATAATGAATGTGCAATTGATTAATATTTAGGAATTAAAAAGTCTCTGTTATAAGTAAAATTTCAATATAGCTAAAAGAAAATAGTATTTAGTTTAAGAAAAGGTTGATAATTAAAAACGATTCTCCATTTTCGATGCATTTTAGCTCTTACAGCACATCCCGTAAGCTTAGTTGGATTTCATAATATCATATTACGTATTACTAGGGAGGTACCCTCAGTCCGCCTAACGGTGGACCAACTCCCATTTTACAAATAACTTTTTTTTTTTTTATTGAATAATAATACAATCAGCCACTGTTGGAGGGCTATAAGTATTAAGGCTAGAAGTTACAAATAACTGTTCATTTAATTGTACTACTCGTTGTTCGAACTGTACAACTTTAATTTACACGTATTCTGTAGTTCTTATTGCATTATTTATTATCAACATAAAAATATTTTTTTTTAATCAAAATGAAACAATTTTTTTATCAACACAAAAAAAAAAAAAACATTACTCCTACATTTGTTTAGTATAAAATCTTTGTATCGTATTAGAAGAGTAGTAGGTAACAGGATCTCAACACATATGTAATTAAATGAACAGCTGTATAATATTTAAACTAATCACCTAGTTCCTGTTGTCTCCTAATATCCTAATACTAAAATAAAATTTGAAAGTCGCTAAAAACATTTGTATATAATAGAGATGTTTACCGATTACAGAAAATAATAAATGTCAGGATTATAATATCAAGCATTGAGACCTATCGAACCATAGTGCACATAAAACTGAGCATCTATTCTCAATAAAAATAAATGAGGTCCTCATAGACCTCATATCAAGCGATGCATGTATTTAAATGTGAACGTATACTAATATTTCAAAAATGTATACATATGTTACACTGGTTTATTAATTATCGTAAAACCTTAAATTTTGAAGGAGTTAGCTTTTTTTTCGTGGTTGTATACGTTAATAAAAACAATAAATCAAAATGGAATATTTAATTACGCCAGTGAATTTGTCCCGGATTTTTTTCTCAATATTTAGCTCTAGTTCATTCTTAATTGGAGTTGGAGTTGACGCACAAGATAGATCCATCAGAGAGAGGAAAACATGGTAAATGGTTCCGTTAGGATGGTCGCAGGTATTTATTCATTTACTATTGTGTTCCCATTTCACGACCTCGGTGTGACCGATTGTTCACTGGTCAGTGGCGGGTAATTTCCATCACATCCTGGTTTCCTCCCGATCGTGGGATATCCAATCCAGATGGTCTCCGAATCTGCTTGAAATCGCTTGATCAACTTGATGTTTATGTTGAAAGAAGGATCCTAGCTCATTGTGTATATGCTTCATTCAAAAAGTACGGCTAATGGATAACAAAATATAAAATAATTATTAAATGTAAATAACTCAATTAAGACAGACATTTTTGCTAGTTTAGCCCGTGGTACAGACATCTTTTTATCGAATTATTAACATCCTCCTGAAACTTCGGAAATAGTTTCATCTCATCGTAACCTACAACTATTTTATTTACAAAACTCTTAGAATTGCCAATCTGGAGGGGGGGAGGGGCAAACTTCGTGTTATGAAGTACAGAGTAGGATTTTTTTAAAAACCAGAAGTCAATCAATGGGGTTTAAGTTCAATAGGAATAATCTTTAGAATTACGTCTCTATCAAACAAAACAAAACTATAAAAATTTTTGATGACGCACTGTTACGTTTTGGAAGTTCCCAATCCCGAAAAAAACTACTAAAAACTACGAACTAAAAAAAACCTGTTATCGATTTTTTTCAATCGCGTTGCTATCATGGTTCAGATGTCAATAGGGTATATTTTTAATCGTCATGAGATTTTCTTTTTGCAAAATTTTTTTTTCTTTTTCAATCTTACAAAACAATATTGATCCAGAATATCAGAGAACTATCAGACCGAGCCAAGAACATGCAGACTTTCCCTTTGTCACTTTTACTCATAAAGAAGGTCAATATTCTCTGAGCCTATCAAAGGTTATTATTTTCTTTTACCAAACTACATAATAACCTTTTGAATAGACAATGGACGGGAAACACAAGGTCTGGACACATTATCTGAGTTTCGTAATATTTTAAAATGACACCTTGTAGATACAATCATGATTGATATTAGAGGGAAAGGACCTACGATGTAATAAATAATTTATTTTCTTATAAATATACATTAAACAATATAATTTTGAATAACATTACTTTTTGGTATCTGTAGTCAGAAGTCCTTAGACTGGAAGAACAGTCAATTTTACAGGATACCGACCGTTTCTAGTCAATGTTGAAAGGACCAGATTTATAATGCGGATCCTAAGTAGAATAAAAGTCAACTACAACAGGTCGGATTCGAACTAGCGCCGCTGCTGACTCGAGATTAATGAGGAGAGCGGCGCAGTTCATAAACGCACTGGAAAAAATTTCAATCAAATAAGGGAAAAAAAGGATTTATATATTTATTGATCTTGAACATTTTAATCATGGTTGGTTTTGCCACGTTTAAATTTCAAAAGAACAGTTTAAATAATTATAATATAAGTCATTAATCATCACAAACAAAAAATAAATAAAAATAGCTCGGCTGAACCTACTACAGGCTATCTTTTTTTTTTTTAATTATTATTTGAAAATGAATACATTCTGCTACATTGGAGGGCAATAATATTAGGGATGCATTAAACATCCACACAATATATACATACAAATGAAAACTAAAATAGAGATAAAAGAAAATGAGCTGTAGAAAGTAAAGTAAGAAAATTAATATACAAAGGTAAAAAAAAAAAAAAAAAGAAAGAAAATAGAGAGAAACTAAATGAAATTGAAATATATAAAACACATTCACAGCTATATACAATATTTACATTCTCCAAGGGGTTCCGAGTCATGCTTTGTCCCCCAAATGTGGAAGCCAAGGCAGGACACCAGGAGATCCCAGTGCTTCTCTCCCAGCTGCGTCACTGGTATTGCAAGCCAGTGGAGACTGACGGAGGGCACTAGAGCAACAGACGCTCAGGACTTGAGAGGAGAATCTGGCCTTTGCCAGTACTCCAAAATATACATATTTACAAAAGGTCGCGGGGCCACTGTCGTTTTAACCTCCGGGGAGGATTGTAGGGATGGCTGGAGCTAGATAGGGATTGTGCTACAGGATTTGGATGATGAATGAGTTTCTGGTGACATTTGGAAAACTTGTCTGGGATTAGGTCAATAACAAATGGGATATGAAAGTCATTATGGAGGGTTTTATTGGTTACATAGAAGGGAGCATCGATTATTGTTCGGAGACTACAAGCTATTAACCTCAAAATATTACCGTAGTGTTGATTATTGAAACGAAATCTGTGGATAAACTCGAGCAATTGCTCAATTAAGATTATGTTTTCGTAATATTAAATGTCATATTTAAACAACGAATATTATGGCAAATTACAAATGTGTTTTGTAATAGCCTATTTAAAATTATGCACACACATAGAACATGTTTTAAAGTTTATAATTATATTACTTATAATGTCATCATGTAAGAACGTGAAGTAAGTATAATTAATATGATCCTCATTCTAGTAATTCTAATTGCGTGTAAATATATGATTGTCAATAGGATGCGGAGTAAGTCATTGGGCAGGGCACTGACTTCCAAACCTCAAGATTTAGGATTCGAATCCAGTTGATGGCAGTTAATTATTCATTTTGTTTCATTAGCCGTGAATGGACACTCTTCATTAAATAATTGGTTAAGGGGAAAAACCTGGCCTTTGAGCTCGACCTAAGTCAAATCACTACCGTTGACCAAGAAGCAGTGATTCCTTATGTAG